TTTGCTATTGAAACTTAAGCGCCTGCCTCTTTGCCTGAATCATAAAGGTGTCATCTGCAATACACAATTTTGGGATCCTTTACACTAAAACGTGTTGATAACCCTTGGTGGTGAGTTTACAGTAATATATGTAGTTCTGTGTTAGAATCAGGTACTTTGTTAGTATTTTAATTCCATGTGGTCAAAATCCTTTCTGAACTGTGGTTGTTTTGAAATGTTGTTTTAGGCAGCCTGCAGAGCAATAGAGCAAGCCAAGAGTCAAAACATCAAGAAATTAATAATCTACACTGATAGCAAGTTTACTATTAATGGTAAGTTAATGATTTTAATTTTCCTGATCCTTAAAGACACTACATGCTTTTTCATTACATAAGACCCACAGAATATTCCGAGTCCTGGAGAGAGGAACGGAAGGAAGACAGTGCATAACTTAACATGTATGACTGCCTGGGGAAAAACTTCAGAGTATCAGACATTGCCTCCTAACTGCATGAAACAGAAGTATAATCAAAGTGTCTGTTATAGTAAACGCTGACAGAAGTAACACCAGGATTTGTGTCTTGAGGTGTGCAGCGTGACGCAAAATTTAGAAAAAATGTTGCTCCTGTGTAGGTTGTTAAAGCTGTACTCAGGAAATTACTTGGAAGTTGATGTGGTAACCTGTAGGGTTTTTGTTGTTTTGCATGTATTGGAGAGGCTGTCTTTAACACACACACCTGTGAAGTACATTAAAGTGAAATACATTAAAGTTCTCTTGCTTCCAAGCTTTTAGGCTACACTGAAAGACTAGCCAGAGATATGTGCTCAGAATATGCATTAAAAAACCTGGAAAACCTAATTTTATTCTCCATAAATACCATATGAAGCAGCCAATAAGATTTAATTTTGGAAAAAAAAGACATCCTATTTACTCAGGACCTTCAGATTTTGTTCTGGTGTTAATCTGGAACTGCTTAAGTTTTTTTTGTTTGGTTGGTTGGTTAGTTATTTTTGGGTTTTTTTCTCAATTTTACAAAGGCAGTATATGTTTGTTTCCGGATCACTTCGGAGATTTGATTTTATGGGTTGTTTTGAAATAGCATTAAACAAAATTTTAACATAAACAAAAACAGCTTATGGTTGAAAATTAAATGTTTCTCTTTTTATCTTAATATCTGTGGTTTTGTTTGCAGTTTCATTTTGCATTTTGGGTCCCTGAGGTGCAAGTGCCATTCTTGTTTAACCGAAGGTATCTTGTAGATGTGTCTAGGGGTTATTATTTAAAAATGCCAAAAAAGGAGGCTTGTAATTAAGTGCAAATTGATGTGATTTGGTTTTTAGGAAGTTTTGCATGCATGATTAGAGATTTCCTATTTGGTTCAGGTCATGAAAGCAGTAAGAATGTATTACATTGTCCATACGAGCAAAGATATTAAAAAAAATCCTTACTTAAGGAGTAATGTAGAAAACTCCCTGGTGAGCAGTAAGCTTTGCTTATGCATCATCAAGCAAATCCTTTGTTTCCGTTTATTGGTGTTTATGAGATACTTTGGGTACAATGCATATATAAGATGGTAGTCTTTAAATTAAATATGTATTTGGAAAAAGAGATATTTAATTTAATGATGGGATAATTCAGGTAATAATGTAAAAATACAATCCTGAAAGACAGCATCAGAGAACCAAACGAGAGTTATCTTTTGCCTCCAGTATTTTTGCCTGAGACTTTGTACAGAGGTAATGTCTTGTTAAAAGGCTGTTGGCTCCGTCTTGATCCTTCCTGGATTCTTTAATAGCACTTTTATGGTGATACTCCCTTTGCACAGGTATTACGAGCTGGGTTGACAACTGGAAAACAAATGGCTGGAGAACAAGTTCAGGAGGAAGTGTAATAAATAAAGAAGATTTTGAAAGACTTGATAATCTTGCAAAAGACATAGAAATCCAGTGGGTAAGTTCCTTGTTTCTTATTCTTAATGACATTTTAAACATGTTTCTGGTAGAATCTTAGAAGTGTGATCATAACTAAGACTTCTGTAGACCACTGTATTGTACATCCTTAAGTAAAACTGCAAATACAGAGAAGCTGTTTGTTGTATGTAAAGCAAATTAGCAACATAACCTGGATTATTAGAACCAGAGCTGTCTGGATCTGGCTCTCTCTCATGTAGGGGCACTGCTCATGTCTTCACAAAACCCACATCTACAGCTCCCACGTGGTACCAAAACCTTGCCATGTAAATCTAATGTCACTTCACACCCACTTCATGCTTATCCCCTCTCAGATCTTGTCAAATAGCAAGCTTGATTTTCTTCCTCACCTTCCTACTCCACCCTTATTTCTGAAAAGGATTGGCTTTCACTTACTGATTGATGTTTGGACAATTAAGACATCTGAAAATTGAGAGGATCTTTTAATATCCTATGTATGTATCCTAAGTGAGTGCTGTAACTACCAAGGCTTTTAGTGGAATACAGGACTTTGGCTTTTAGGAAAAGATCAACTCAGTTTAACCACTGAATGCTGGAAGGTGGGAATTTTGAATTGGAGCTTTTGTCTGCATTTCTTAAAGGAGAGGTTAGCTGGTCCTTATGCTTTTCACTAATTACTGTAAAAATTATAGTCACAGTTTGGCAAGAGTTTCCCTAGAAGAAGAGAGACAATGAAAATCTTTGGGAAGAAGACCTAAGGGCTAAATATTAGGTGAGGACCTCTGAGGAGGTGCTCCTGTACTATCAATGACAGAGCATTGCTTTATCAAATTTCATGTATCTACTTCCTGGTTTCTTCTGTATCTAACACTCCTATATTTTGTCCTGACAGATGCATATTCCTGGTCATGCTGGCTTCCAAGGAAATGAAGAAGCTGATAGACTAGCAAGAGAAGGAGCTTCTAAACAAAAGTGCTGATGGCCTAGGAGTAGAGACTGTTGCACTGAGAGTAAAGGGCCTAATATGACAGCAACAACTTGAACTGCTGTAATTATTTTGGAGTTGAACTTTCAGCTGTACTTCTTTCTGGCCTGAAGCACTAAATATAAATCAACTTCTGGGAAGGAAAACCCCACAGTTTCTTCTACTGTATTTGTTTTACAATTGAGAATATTTAGTTGATGATACTGAGTATTTGTTTTTTCTCCATCTGTTGGAAGGGCTGTGGTCAGTGTTTTTAGCTTTCTTGTGTACTTATGAGCTCACCTTAATGACAAGCTTCTGAAGAAGTAATTTTAAATCAAAGTTTTCTGTATTTTCCTCTTAGTTAAATAAATATATTTCTTTTTTTTTCTTTTTTTTTTTTT